TACATTGTAGATGTATGTTGTTTTGGGAGAAGAAATGAGATGTACTCCATTATTTGGGAGGAGATAGGGGATGGACTCCATTGAGAATTAAGTAGGCCGGAGTGTCTAGGGTGAAAGTCCCAAAATCTTATGAATACATGGGTGCCGATCCCGCAGACGAAATTTTCGTAAAATGGCAAGGTTGAAGTGTTTGTATGATGGTTATGTGGATAGGGAACCACTGAGTTGTAGTCTCAGTTGGATCATTTGGAAAATTATATATATTTTTCGTATGACTTGAAATGAAATGGATTAACTCGAAATGAATAAATGAGGATGGATTAAGGTGTGAATATCAGTATTTAATGGTTATGGAAGAAATGTAAGTTGATCTTGAATATTGAACATTTATCTGGCACTTATATCTTAGTTAAACTTCATACATTGTTTTAGACTGTTTCTACTGGGCTTTGACTCACCCTACTTGGGAAACCATTTTTAGGTACAGGTGATATGCTTCCTCCAAGGACATAGCTTGGGAGGACGTAGGAGCTGAAGGCTCTATTTTGTCTTTTTGTGTCTAAATGTTTATTCAAGCCAAGGGCTTAACTTGTGCAGAGCTTAGAACTCTTTCTTTTGTTGTAACCAAGTGATACCTTGGAAAGATGTAAGCCCGTAGGGCATTTATTTTGTTATCGTTAATTTAAACTACATGCTGAAGATTCAGAATGGATGTTTATGAATGTATAATGCATGTAATTCCCTTTTTAATAGAAACTCTGATGAATGAAGTAGATCATTTTATTATGTTCATAAATCGTATGGAATGGATTATCGTATTATATTTTGGGGGCGTTACAAGCATAGAATACACTCGTCCATTATTTTGCAAGTCTACAAAAATACTGAGAGTTTGCAAAGCCCGCTTGAGCGCAAGAATGGCCGCTCGAGCGGAGGGGCAACAAAGGTTCGAAAATCAAGCAACCAACCTGTTCCAAATAAGACCAATACAATCCAATAACCAAATTTAAGGGAGAATAAGAGGGGAACGACAGTGAACAACATTCAAAAACCATAAGCCCGAGTTCGGAATGCAACAAGAGTTGGGTCAAAACTGGAATCGCTATACGGGTGACATGCTAGTATTATTTAACAAGAATATTTAGCTCTCATAGCAAAACACAATCGACAATTTCTTCACCAATTACATCCATCTAAAGAACAAATTCATAATATTCGTCTATAATAGTACAAGTTTATTCAAATCCGTAAATGCCATATCAGTTTTTTTTTGGTTGGTATTATAATAAATATTGCCCTCAGCAGCATCACATCTCCATACTTCCAAAATTAAGCAATTCCTATTGCTAATAAAACATTGTTACTCTTAAATGGTGGCAAAATTAAATCAATTCACCATCCAGGAAGAACTATTTCCTTAATTGGAACCGGACTTGTATAGACTTAGTAAATTAAAGAAAATCTAAAATCGTTTCGATTTAGGACAACATAAAAAGATGATATTGGGAGAAACCTATTTAGGAGAATAACTTTTGATAAAGTATCGAGAATTTAAGATTTTTTTTTTTATGTCATGATTGATATTACCAAATGAGAGAATATAAAATGAGATTTTATACATGTTTCATCACGTTTCTACTTAAACATTAGACTCATGACTCACGTTTCATCAGGTTTTATATGCTCATAACAATCTATAGAAATATGTTATCAAACTTTTTCTAATCATTTTGACATATATGTTTCATTAAGTTACCAAACATTTTAGGACAATGCTATAATACATATCAAGTTATGACATTTGTAGGTATGATTATCATAAATGTCATAATTTAATTCTATGATATAGTCACAATTAAAAATAAAAAATGAAACATAGTTTGTTTCTCTCTATCCCCAGTAATAATCTCCAATTTGATTCCTTATTGAAGTGTGTCAAATAAGAAGAAAATAAATTATGTATGTTACATGGTTTGTTTCTTCTTCATTAGAACATTTTTTGAATTCATTTCAAGGCTTTTAATATAAGTTATTAGTCCATTCTAAACTTAGCAAATAATTGAATTTGGAGTTTTACTGTTTGTGGAAATTACAGCACCCAGAGATCATGATTCAGTACCCATATGGAACAAAGGAAAATGTTTCAGTGCTCACTATTTTTTATGGTCAAATATATTCAATCTTATTTTCTTATGCGGCAATGTTATTTTCATAATGTGAACTTATGACGGAAAAATCATAGTGTGCAACTTTTTTCTTTTATTTATATGGAAATTCTATATATATTGATGTAAAGTAATAAATGACTACACATAAAAGTATGATTGAGTAAAAAATCAAAAAAGTCAACCTAATTGCACAGTTTGATTTTGATAATATACGGTTTAATCCGGATTTTTAAAATAGGTAAAATGTAATTCACAGTTTGATCGTGATTTTTTTATAATTATTATAATTCTGGTTTCATGTGGCATGGTTTTGTTTTTTGATGTTGTCTCAATGCTTTATGTAGATTGAATTCCATCAATATTTTTTTTCTGATAAAAAAAAAAAATTTGTGGTTTAGTACTGAACCAGCCCTTTTAAACACAAATATACATATATAATTTGTTACGTATTGTAGACACTTCTAATTACTATTCTGATTATGATATGTTATTTTGTTTTAAGTAAATTGTGAGTAATATTTGTAATTATGATTTGAATAAAAATGACAACATTTTTAAAAATTATTGTTTTAAACTGAACCAAACCAGCTTTTATTTGTTTAATTTAATTTGATTTGATTTTAAAATTTTCATAATTTGATTTGGTTTATAAATTTCGTAGGACTATATGTTTAATTCTTGATTTACTTCTTAATTGAACCAAACCAAATCATACTTGATGGGCATGACCCACATGGCCCAGGAAAGCCCAATCAACAACTATCTTGGGTGGCCCAAATGGTCATTTAGTTGTGGCCTAGTAGGTGAAACTCAAGAATAGACCCACCGAAGAACTTGCACTGGTCTAGGCCCTGTGGCATTTGGACACCTATTAGATAGGAAGTTAGTCACGTGGCAGACAAAGATCTTGTAGAGTTATTGAGCCCATATATTAGGTATTAAATGAGGCTGTCATGGCATTAAATGCAACAAGACCTCTCGTTCCCTGGTATGGTGAAACTGCCATGACTGACGACGAGTAGACCATAGACTTTCGGCTAATAAGATAGCTTAAATGGATAAGGAAATGAACAGTAAAAGATATAAGGAAGCTTGTGAAGAACATTTTAAAAAACAAGTAATATTCTCTCTTTCTCCCCTCTCTCAACCCTTAACTTTATTTTCTCTCTCTTCTTTCAACCACTTCATGTCTAACTTAACCATCAGAGAGTCCACAGGGAGAAACCACTCCAGTTTTGGTACCTTCCCACCTAACCTTTTGCAGGTGTGCACCAAGAAGACAAAGGCCAGTAGACCCGTGGAGCACATGAATCAGTCCGACTCATCTCTCACTGACCGTATTATATTATCAATTAGCGACAAATCCTTTTAATGCAAGCTGAATCTATTGTCTATATACCTGGGGTTATTATGCATAGACATGGTTACTAATATCTTTCCCTTGATAATTCTTTCCATATTCAATTTCATATTAATCTGCTTGATCCAAAACAGAGCCATAATATAATATAGTAATCCTTTATGTTCTTTCTTGTCTTCCTTGTTACCACCACAAGCCAATTATATTTGTTATTCATTGGTTGCAGCTTTCAATCCAAGACTAATAAATAAAAGTTATCAAATGGATCCAAGACTAAAGAGTTGATGAAAAAAATTCACTTAAAAAAATATTACTATATTTAGCTTTTTTTTTTTTCTTCTTCTTCTTTTTAAATAGATCTTTGTAGGTTAGATTGACCGAAAAAATTTATAACCCAAAAAAAAAAAAAAAGTGATATAAATGTAGAATAAATTCACTAAATTAAAGGAAAAAAAAATATGACTTTTTTAATTGATCCCAAACTTAATTCACTAGGCCAATAACCAGGGACGGAATTAGGAGAAAACTATGGGGGTTATGGCTCCCCGGTTTTTGTAAAAAATATGTTTTGTGATGACATTTTACAAATATATATATATATATATATATTTCATTTTATACATAAAATGACCTCCTAATATAAAAAATACATATCTTATTCTTATCCCATCTTGCATTCTCTCTTTATTTTGCACCAATTTTTTTTTTTCATCCTATTAGAAATTGCTTCTATAGTATTTGATTATTTTTTTTTTATGTGTATATATATAATTTAGAGTAAATTACACTTACACTCTTAAGGTTTGGGTTTAATACATATCACCCCTGACATTTAAGAAATTACACTAACCCCCTTGTCATTATAATTATTTAGATGGAATAAAGATATTTAACTCATGCACTCTCTCTTTTCTTGTTTTGCTTTACTTCCATCTTTTTTTCTTTTCTTTTTTTCCCTTTGCTTTATTTTACTTTTTTTTTCAATGTAATTTCTTATATTTTTCTATTGGGAGTTGTTGTCTTTTATATAAATAAAGAGGTTTATGAAATGAGACTATTAACCACAGGGGTGAGATGTAATTTCTAGAATGTCAAGGGATGGAACGTAATTAGACCAAATCTCAGAGGGGTGTCAATGTTATTTATCCTATAATTCATGTATCATGTCTCGACACCTATTCAATTTCATCTACACCACCTGTCAAGATTTACCACCGTATTTACCCCAAAACCAATTCATGGAAACTTGTTTCTCAACTTTCTTTTCTCAATGCAAGTTTTCAAATCAACTTTCAAAGTTTAATGTAATCAAATGAATTGATACGCCAATAACACAAGATGAATATAAATACTTTTATTCCAATTCATCATCCAAGAAATAACACAATTCCCTCTTCTCAAGTATCATCAACAATTAGTCATTTCAAGACTATTTCAACGTTTTGAACAATAATTTCCAAAATGAACAACAATTCTCATATTTCCTGAAATTCATCATTTATACAAATATAAATAAAGTGAGCTACAGTAGAATTCAAGACACATTATTGTATCTCTAACTGTGATGGAAATTATAGAGGATTGGTACTTTTAAATTAGGCATATAAAAGTTTGTAAAATAGTAATTAGTAGAAAAGAGCAGCAAAATAGACTGGAACACAGGGTGCAATTGAATGGTATAAGAAGACAATTGAAAGCAAGAATATCATGCAATCCAAGAATGAAAGGGAAAATAAATACTCAAGAGCTTGAACAGTTGATGTCAAAGAGTTGTCCTAATGTAATCGTGTAGAACTGATTTTGCAATGTTGGCCTTTGCTTTGATAGTATCATAGCAACTTGTTGCATGGTTGGCCGAGACAGTGGAGTGGTGTGTAAACATGCAAATGCTAGTTTCGCAACAACAACTATTTGCTCTGCCACTTGATTCCTCGGAGGTAAGAGGCGTTGGTCCAAGACGTCCTTCAAAAATATCCCCTGTGCAGTTGATGTTGATGATGAGAACGAGGATGATGATAAAGAGGAGATTAAATCACATGGATGCTTCCCCATAATCACTTCCAGTGCTAGCACCCCAAAACTATAAACATCGCACTTCTCATTCACTGCCATTGTATAAGCAAGTTCTGCCCAAAATTAAAAATGCCCAACAACAGAAAATTATTAAATAAGGAAATGGTGGAAAAGTAAACAAAACAGCTCCTGGCCCATTTCCAGACATTAATTAAATTGCTTGGAATTCTTTGATAAATGATGCGAATAGTTTGGGGTTCCAAAAGAAGGAAATTATATAAATGCTTGATCAATGCCAATGCCAAAATTTCAGAATATGAAAACCTGAGAACCATGAATATCTTAAAATAGGATAGTTAGTTCATTGAAGCAACTACCTACCTTTTCATACATGATTTTCAAGACATCAATAGGATTGTTAGTCACCAATATTAACTAAAGTCTTTCAAGTGTTATAAGTCTTTCTGATTTTATGAGCAACCAAAACAATTTGAGGGAAATAAAGAATTAATGAAAATTTGCTCACTGACAAATGTTAGCAGTAGAAATATAAGTTTTTGAAGTAATGAACTATATATAGTGGCCTTTGAAGGACTGTTCACAACTGCAAGGATGGATGCATGATTTTAATCATAGGGGGCAAACTTATAATCAAGGAGAAAAAAACACTACTTGTGTTGCTTAGTTTGGATAATTTTCACTGACAAAAATGTGCATTTTGTTGTCACTGTAGACATAGGTAAAGTTAAAAGATGACGATTCAATCTATTGACAAGAGGATAAATTATAGACTTTCTTGCTTTACAAACACTTTGGCACAACTCAAATATTATTAATACTTTTTGAAATTCGAAGTATCTAATTTTTTAACTGGAATTTCAAATGTAAATTAAATTTACTTGCAAGCTTGCAAATATCTTTAATTGTGAAAAATCAATCAGTTTTTTTAAATCATTTTTTTTAAATTCTTGTAATTGAGTATCACATGTAATTGTAAAATGTCAACTCGAAAATGCTCAATGGTAATGTGATCTCTTTGTTGGCAAGTACGACTTCTATCGAATGTAATTAAGTCAAAGAAGAAAAAGAAGAAGAAGAATGAAGAAAGACAAAATTTAAATACAGAAATAAGAAAATGAGGAAGAATTGAAAGTATAAGTTGTTTTAAAATAGAGATGGAGAAGAGGAAGAAAAAGTCAAAATGGAAATTGAGTTCTGGGAAAAATTTAAATAAATAAAAAAAAGACAGAGGAAAAAATTGAGGAAAGAGAAGATGAGAACCGAAACAAACAAGAAGAATAAGAGGCAGAGAGAGAAAGGAAATCTAGAGTTAGAAAAGTAAGATTGAAACTTAATACTGCAAATCGAGTTAAAGAAAATCAATAAAATCTTGAAGGGGTGAGCCTATATAATTTATAAATATTGATAACTAATACCACTATATTTAAGGAGTTATTTCAAAATTTTGGGGTGGCGGTCGCCCTGCCAGCCCCCTCGATCCATCCCTGCACAAGTGGTAGGTCATTAGAGCGGGCCAAAGTCTCAACTATAACCATAAATACCAAAATAAAGGAAACACATAGAATCCGATTGAAATAATCATTTTCTTAAATGAACGTTAAACAAAGAGAAAATATTCCATGTCTTGCAAAAAAGAGTTTTATTTTTTACTTTTGGTAAATCTTGACGACATAAGGAGAAATTTATTAATAATCTAAAATCGAGAGGGGTAATGAGCCTTATCTCTCAAACAATAGAAGAAAAAAAATATTCATGCAAAAGAATGGGCAAATCACACTTTACATCCTTATACTTATAATCTAATCTCACCTTACCTTCTGACCTTTTAATTGTTTTAGTCAACCCTCCAAACTTCAAGTCAAATTGGAATTGGGCCCATTTGCATAACCTAGTTTCAAAAACTAACAAAGAATAGTCATGTGATAGAATTAATTACAATTAGCACCCTTGCACTTTCATCAAAATCTCACTTTTTTCCTTATCAACTTGTATTTTTACCAAAATCTCATTTTAAGGCAATGTTATATGCTTAGGCCTAATTGAAATTGGACTTGAAGTCTAGGGGCTGATTGAAATAATTTAAAGTCAAGGGGCAAAGTAATAAATGGTGTAAAGTATAGGGATACAGTGTAATTTGGTCCAAAAAAGAATCAACACTAACAAACTTGAATATATATATATATATATATATACAAAGTACCCAACCTGTCTAAAGCCACAATAGGCTTAACCAATGTACAAGGCTCTTAAAAATTAGAGAAATAAGAATTATTATCACAACCCCAAGTAGCTAACACATCTGCAACTCTATTTACTTACTTCAGTGCATATTTTTCATCTAAAATGGCTTTTCAGTAGCTATGTTCATCATACATCAAAATTTAAGGGTATGCATATTAGAAAAAATGGAATAACAAGCTTAAATCTAGCAATTTGTCATCATTAGCAAGTTAAAATGAACAAACACTACATGGGTAATTTAATTGGAAATAAATCATTGCAATAGAAAAATATATACCAGGAGCAGCATAACCAAAGGTCCCAGCAAATGAAGTCCAATTGGATGAGTTGAGATTCATAAATCTAGCTGTGCCAAAATCAGAGATATGAGCCACATACTCCAAATCAAACAAAACATTCTTGCTTGATATATCTCGATGGATGATTGGTTGAAAACAATCATGGTGCATATAAGACAGAGCATTTGCCACACCTTTAACAGTGTTCACTCTCTTAATCCAATCAAAGACTACTATATCATCGTCCGTGCTTAGTACCTTTCCCAAGCTTCCCCCTTCCAAGAACTCATAAACCAAAAATGAGTGCCTTGGGTGTGAACAATAACCATACAACTTTACAATGTTGTGATGCCGAATCTCAGTTAATGCATGGATCTCACTTGTAAACCCTTTTAGATTAGCCCAATCATCATCAAGTGTTGCATGAAGTTTCTTCACAGCAACTACTTGACCATTTGGTAGGTCAGCTCTATAAACGGTACCATATCCTCCCTCTCCAACACAATATTTGGCACTAAAGTTCTCAGTGACTTCAATGATGTTTTCATAGACCAATTTTCCATCATAGCTCCATATTGCAAAAACATTATCATGGTTAACTCGTGATGGCTTGTTTTTTGTGTTCCTCACTTTCTTACGAAAAGCCATGAGAATGCCAAGAACCATTAGCAAAGGAAACAAAATTCCAAAAACAAGAAGTACAGTTAGTAACATAACTTTCTTGCCCTTTTTTTCAACATCCCCATTGTTCAATTTTGTCAAGCAAGTCTTCAGACCAGTAGCATTACCACATAAACCTTTATTACCTTTGAGTGCCTCGAATGGAGCCTCTTGGAACGCCTTGATGTTAGGAAGAGGACCCTCTAACTGATTGTATGACACATCAATGGAAGTAAGACTTGCCATTTTATTGAAAGATGATGGTATAGAACCAAAGAACTCATTGTGGGAGAGATTCAACGTTTCTAAGCTTTGCAGTTCTCCAATCTGTTTTGGTATCTTACCAATTAGCAAGTTATTACCAAGATCAAGACTTTGAAGAGTGTTGATCTGGCCTATTTCAGTAGGAATGCTTTTCCCAAATCTATTATTGCTCAAATTTAAGTTCATTAATTTTAAGTAGTCTCTAAGTTCTCCAGGGATTGAGCCACTTAGATTATTTGCTGCCAAGTTAAGGTTCTCTAAATTGGACAACTTACTTAATTCTGGAGGAATATTGCCTACTAGATAGTTATCATCCAGCTTAAGGTTGAATAGTGAAACCAACCTTCCCAATTTCAATGGGATCTCTCCAACTAGATGATTTGAAGAGAGATCAAGAATGGATAGTTTAGTTGCCCCTACTAAATCAGATGGTATCTTACCAGAAATTTTATTGTTAGACATTTTGAGACTAGTTAAATTGTGGCATTTTCCCCAGTTTTTAGATAGTTCACCATAAAAATTGTTATGACTCAAATCAATGTAATCCAAGCTTGGGTATATGCCAAAATCTTTTGACATATTTCCCGAAAGTTGGTTTCTTTCAAGCCTAACTCTATATAAGCTAGAGCAATTTGTCAAGCTTTTTGGAATGGGACCTATGAGATTATTATCATTTGCTGTAAAATTAACCAGCAATCCATTAAAGCATAGGCCTTCTGGGATATGACTATTGAGCATGTTTCCACCTATATCAAACTCAGTCAAATGTGTCAGATTGTTGAACACTAGGGGAATAGATCCAGAAAGTCTATTGTCGTAAAGGTACAAAGTGGTTAAGTTGCCCAAGTTCCCTATTGATGCAGGGATTGAACCTGTGAGATTGTTCCTTGAGAGTGCGAGATTAACGAGAGACCTTAGCATCCCAATTTCTTGAGGGATTGATCCGGAAAGTTGGTTGTCATAAAGGTACAGAGTTGTTAAGTTGCCCAAGTTTCCTATAGAAGTAGGAATTGAACCTGTGAGATTGTTCCCTGAGAGTGCGAGATCAACGAGAGACCTTAGCATCTCAATTTCTTGAGGGATTGATTCGGAAAGTTGGTTGTCATGAAGATACAAAGTTGTTAAGTAGCCCAAGTTTCCTATAGAAGCAGGAATTGAACCTGTGAGATTGTTCCTTGAGAGTGCAAGATCAACAAGAGACCTTAGCATCCCAATTTCTTGAGGGATTGATTCGGAAAGTTGGTTGTCATGAAGATACAAAGTTGTTAAGTAGCCCAAGTTTCCTATAGAAGCAGGAATTGAACCTGTGAGATTGTTCCTTGAGAGTGCAAGATCAACGAGAGACCTTAGCATCCCATTTCTTGAGGGATTGATCCAGAAAGTTGGTTGTTAAAAAGGTACAAAACGGTTAAGTTGCCCAAGTTTCCAATTGAAGAAGGGATTAAGCCCTTGAGATTGTTAGTAGACAAGCTGAGCTCATTGAGAGAGCTGAGCAATCCTATTTGTTGAGGAATGGAGCCACCGATTTGGTTTCCATACATGTACAAGATCCTTAGATTAGTTAGTTGGCCTATTTCGGTCGGAATTGTTCCGGAGAGATTGTTGAGAGGCAAGCTAAGGTAGGTGAGTCTCCAAAGGCTACCAATATGAGGAGGGATGGTCCCATAAAGTGAATTGTTAAAAAGTTGAAGGGTGAGGAGATGAGGAAAGGATGAGAAATTAAGATTAGAAAGAGTACCTTTCAAACCATAACTGGGAAGGTCTATATGGGCAACTCTGCCGGCCTTGTTGCAACGAATTCCAAGCCAAGTGCAATGGTTGGTTCCAACCCAGGAGGACAGGAAAGTTTGAGTTTGGTTGTGAAGACTAGCTTTCCACGTGAAGAGAGCCGTTGCTTCACTTGCTTGTTTTCCAGTTAAGGAAGAAGCAAAAGCAGCATAATCAAAAAAAGTGGGCAATGCAAGGATGATGAGGCAGAGTGAAAGGGCTGGGAAAGAAAGATAGTGGCTGGGAAGTGAATTGGCCAAGAATGTCATTGTAGGCTTGTTATTAATAGAACGCTATGAAAGACAGTAATATGATGGAGGGATGAAGAGCTGTAAGAGCATACAAAGGTATTTATAGATAATAGAACTTGGAAAATTATTGGTTGGGTTTGAAAATTCTAGTGCAATTCCTTTCAATAGTGTTGGTTTGGATCTTCCACTAAGATCATGCCAGATCAATGCATATGAAACACATGTCTTTGGACCATTACTTCTGTAACTAATTATACAACATTAGCGTTCGATCATTTGGATCAATGACCTTGCGCTGTGTTTGGTCCTCCAATAGTTTCATTTGCGGCTCTCACAGTTTATAAATTAGGACAAAATACATTTCTTTATATATATTTTTTGTATTACTTTGATTTTTTAAAATTTTTAATGTTATCACTGAAGTATTCACGGAATTGAATTGATTCAATTTTAAACGGATTGTAACAAAATGATAAAGAAATAGTTTCTAAAAAATGAATTTCGTGTTATTTTGGTCTCTAATATTTTATTTTTGTCACTTTGAATCCTAGACTTTTTTATTTTTATTTTTTAAGTGCAACTTTGAATCCGAAACACTAATGAAAAAAAAAAAGGGTAAAAGATAATCATTCTGTTAATTATTTAAACAACACAATGATATACATAATTTTCAAATCACAACCAGTTTTAATAATAATAATAATATTATATGTAGACTTGACTTTACTTGACTTTTGGGAATTCCTGTCGTTTTGATTTTTTTAATAACAATAATATCAGGAGAAAATTTTGAAAATAATTATAAATTAATAATAAATTTTATTAATATTATTAATAATTAAAATTATAAATTTTTTCTTACAAATGTAATAATTTTATCAACTCACATCTTTTTGGTAATTTTCTTTTATTATTATTATTACAAAAATGTTATGGACAATGACATATCTTTTCAGATTTTTTTAGGGAAAGTGATGTATGATAAATATTGAATTTGTACAGTATAAAATTTATATATGAAATTAATATGAGTCATTAATATAAAATTCTGAATAATTTTTAAATTTTTATGTTTGGTCCATAATATTATTGTTATTATTAGGGCAAATTACATATACCTCCTTCGAGATTTAGCTAAATTACAGATACTCCCCTGAGATTTTGAAAATTACAAATATCCCCTGAGGTTTATATTTTCATAACAAATTGCCCCCTGAGGTTTATATTTTGATAACAATTTGCCCCCTGAGGTTTATATTTTCATAACAATTTGCTCCCTAATTTGTTATGCAAATAGTACCTTCAGGGGATATCTATAATTTTTCAAACCTCAAAAGAATATCTGTAATTTTACTAAACCTCGAGGGGTATATGTATTTTGCCCTTATTATTATAGGTAGACTTGACTTGACTTGACTTGACTTGACTTGACTATGGGTCATCTTGGTCTTTCTCGGTGGACCATAAATCAAAGATGCAAAGTTGGTGCATTTTAATATTTAAAGCAAATTATGAATATATTGAGATGTCACACGCTTATGTCCCGTTTGAAATCACAATAGAGTGTGTTGTGGGGTTTCGTAGGCTGACTATGGAGTTTATACTGATGATTCAAATCGTTTAATATGTAAATTTTATCAAATATTTTATTTTTGTAAAAATCACATTGATCAGATATCGATAGTTGCTTGATCAGACCAAATTTATATTAACAGTAACTATAATTTTAAAAATAAATTATTAACACAAATGTGATCTAATCAAGTGGTTCTTGTTATCTAATTAACGTGATTTTTTATAAGGATAAAGTACTCGACGAGCCATACGCATTGAACAATTTGAATCGTCAATGTGGGCTCCATAATGAGCCCACAGAAACCCAACAACATAATCCAGTCCAAACTAGAGAGAAGTTGTTCCTTATTAAGATTTGTTTAAAATATTAATTGTAATTTTGAAAAGAAAAATGCTTGGGAGCTCTAGTTGAGCACCTCTAATCTACTTCTAATAATGTGAAACAGACCCCACCCCTCACTCCTCATCCTTCCTCTCTCTATCTCTTTCTATTCTCTCTTTCTCCCTAAACTAAAAGTCAAAATAGAGGTGATATATTAGGGGATGTAGCACCACTCTTTTGAAAATTATATTTTTCCTTTAAATTTTTAATTGCATAATAAATGACTCATTTTGTTAATAAATCATTAAGTCATAAATAATTTTTAATGATATTAGAAATATATTTTAATTAATATTTCTAATAATTTTATTGTTAAATAGGAGGGTAGTTAAAAATTTCTCTTTTTATATTAATTTTGTTAAATGACAAATTCTGACGAGAAGTATTCGTAATTTTCAAAATTACAAAGGGCAATATATATTTTAAAAAGTTCTCGAGGAATGTATTTGTAATTTATCATAAAAGAATAAGTCAAAAAAAATATATCAAAAAACGCAAATTCCAAACACCTACTTAACTGCACCAAACACCTCGCGTTGTATAATATCAAGACTTTTTTTGATTATCACAAATATCATAATTATTTATTTTATTTTTTTCGTTGCCATAACTTTAAAAAAATAAAAATAAAAATAAAAATAAAAAAACAAACAAACAAACAAACAAACAAAAACTACATAAAGTATAACTAAAGACTTTTTGAATTATAACTATAACCAAACTAATAATCACGAAAGGTTTTAATTAACATCACTATAAGTCATAACTAACATTACAATGAATTATAACATAATCATAATCAAGTTATAACTAACACCATAATAAATCATAACAAAAGACTATAAATGTCACAATTGATACATATAGTACACATCCCAAAATGGGGTGTGTATTGTAAAATTTCCTTTATTTTGATTAGCCTTCTTTAACTTATATGACAACAAGTTTACACATAAGATTTGGATTGTCTTTCATCAGGGATTTCATTTCGATCATCCGAATCATTCATTTTGGAGAGTCTTTTATGTATATCATTCACACAAAAAATGTAATTGATCCAATAATCGTAACATATTTAATTTATTATGCTTATTACCAAAAAAAAAAAAAAAATGAATGATCTTTTTTAAAAAATACACATTGTCAATATTGTTTTGAGATAAATTTGAGAAATTGAATACATTACAATTATTAAATTGATCTTCTCCTTTTTTTTATGTAAATAAAAGGGTTGGCTTTTCTCTAATCCAGAGGAATGTACTCTTTGGGCGTGTGGAGCTCACCATGCACCCCGGTTTTCAATGATCTAAATAATTTATTTTATGGAGCCTTTCATGTATATTATCCGCACAAATAAGTTAGATTAATTTGATAATCGTAGCATGTTTAATTTATCTCATTTGTTTAAAAAAATAGATGACAACTATATTTTTAAAAATAGACTTTGGCGACAAACACAATAAATTGAACAAATTACGAATATCGGATTAACCTAATTTTTTTATGTGTAGATGATATACATAAAAACTCTTACAAAATGAACAGTTCATATCACCAAAATAATATATGTAGTGAATTTTCTAGGCTCGGACAATACCCTTTAATTCAATATCTGAGCTAAAGAGACACTAGATTTAAAAAATATATATATACATATTTTTTGTACAAAGAAAATAAAATAATTTTAATTATACATGAGATGATAGAATCAATTATAAAAGTACTGCTTCACTCAAATTGCTTCACCTACGTTTGTGGCATGCAGTCGTGTGAAGAGGGCAAGAAAATCATAACCAAACGTTTATGCTGCCCCACAATAGACTTGACTTGACTTCACTTCACTTTTTCTTCTTCTTTTTTAATGAGTCCAATAGACTTGACTTTGATAATTCAAAATTGGACAATTACATGCTTCACAACCACACTCAATTTTTATTTATTTATTTATTACGATTTTATTGATATAAGATATTATAAATTTACAATAAAATTTAATGAATTACAATTATAGTAATAGAGATTAAATACAATATAAATTTTTACAAAGAAAATCCTAAAATAGGAGAGAAAACCACATATTTTTACAAAGAAACTCTCAAAATAGGAGAGAATGTCCCAATTAAATTACAATCATCGTAATGAAGATCAAATACGATACAAACTTTTATAAAGAAACTCTCAAAGTATGAGAGAAAACCCAATTAATACACGAGGAATAAAACTCACATATAGGTGTGGAGATTTGAATTACTGACCTCCTAGCGAGGTGTAGGAGTTTTGGCGAATCAAGACCCACACACATACTTTTTGAGTATGTATCATACATTTAAGGGAAATTGTAATATACAAACCCTTGAAAGGGATGTACTGTTGGAAAAAATGGTTTTATATAGGCATATTATTTAGCCCAATTTGGGTGGACCCCAAACGTCTTTTGGGGTGGGTTCGAAGAGGTGAAGTGTTCCTTGCCGCGTGGCAAGTCACACGGTGAAGATGGAACGTCAAAACCATTTATGAGTGAATGGGAAGTTGACGTCGTTTTCGAGTCTAACATTAATTTTTATTTGATAAAATTCATTTGGATTTTTTCTTTTTCAATAAAAATTATTGTGGGAATTTAATTTAATTCTAAATTCAAATTTTGGGTTCCTGAGTGGTTTCCTAAGGTTTGTAATTTTGGGAGTTTAATTTAATTCTTAATTCAAATTTTTATTTCCTAATTGGTTTCCTAAAAATTTGATTAAACTATTTAAATTGTTTAATAAAGTTATTTCTTTCAAGTGTTAGATTGTTTTTGAATTAACTTTTCTAAACTATTCTAATAGTTTATTTATTATTATTTCAACAGTTTTCGTAACTGTTGCACCTCATTATCTTTCAAATTGTTTGAAAGCAACGGTCAACATTTCAAATTTGTTTGACCATTTGGTTTTCTTGTGCCAACGGTTTGACAAAATTATTTGAATGAATGAGTGCATCTGTTCACTTGGCATTTGCACCTCTCTGAGGCTTAGGATTTTTTTCCTATCTATATACTGCCATGTTATTGGTCTGCTTAACCGTCAGTGGAATGGTTTGAATTTAGAGGTGCACCCTT